GTAACATTATGTGACCTAATTATACACAGACCAAATTGCTGCAATCTCTTTATGATCCACGTTTTTGTCGCTTACAAGATGTCCGAGATCAGTCCATCTACCATTTATGATAGTTGTCATCTACGCAGAACTTCATCAACATATTCATGATCTCAGGTTCCTGGCAAGCTGCTCTGAACTTTGTTTTACTCTGAGATCCTGACCTTGGTTTACACAATGGCGATACATCCATACAACTTGCAGGCCGGCATTTTATTATTAATAATTTGGCTGGCACAAAGGAAAACAGAAGGCTTATAAATAGACCACCAATCCCTCTCGATGGCATACATCTCAAAGAGCTTAATTAGAATGGCATTGAAGTTTATGCTTGTGATCATGACCGTTGCTGCAATGGCGGCGATATTTACGAATGTCGCTGAGGCGACAGAGTTCATGGTGGGGGACGACGAGGGATGGGCAAAGGGGGTTAATTATACTGCTTGGACGGAGGGCAAAGAGTTCTTCGTTGGAGATACCATCGGTAATATTGTTATCCTTAATTTACTGATTGTTCTTTGTTACGTTCTATAATATCATGTCATTTGTGGCTGTTTAATTAATTGTGTGCTTAGCTCGAAAATCATTTGCTACCCAGTCATTCTCATCTTAATTATTATTTCTGAAACTCTCTTCCCTTGCACAAGAAGTGCTTAGTTAGGATGAGCTAGAGCTGAGGATTTACAAGTTTGTACTTTAATACCCGGCCCCTAAGATGATTGTCCCTTCTGTGGATTTAAACATGGATTACCTCTTATAGTTTTGCTTTAAATAAGTGTCGGATTTGTAGCCTAAATATTCCAGAAATTAGTTGCTCAATCGTCATTCTTGTTTGTTTTATGGAGCCTGATTTACATGAAGAATACATATCACTGGGACCCAGAATTAGACGCCTACAGAGTTGCATCCTAACTATGTAGAAATGATCCCTAGCTATCAGTAGAATCCTTCCTGAGCTGTGGGACGTAAGCAATCACATTGTTATTGTTGAAATTTTTGTATCTCTATGGTAGTTTATGCGTTTTGTTATCTCTATCGTGGATCTTTGGTTAAGTTTTCTGCTGTGTTGCTATAAATCCTACTTCCTTCAACTGCACAAAGGTTGGCTATGTGAATTTTCTGCGTTAGTCATGAAGAAGTTTGACAAAATGCATATGTTTCATGCTATTGTTGCAGTCTTTATGTATGACCAAGGAGCTCACAACGTCTACAAAGTAACCGGCCCTGAGTTCCGCTCTTGCCAGGTCCCTAAGAACGGACAGGCCTTGAGCTCCGGCAACGATGCCGTAAAGCTCGTCACCCCAGGAAAGAAATGGTACATCTGCGGTTTCCCTGGACACTGCGACGGCGGCCAGAAGGTCATTATCAACGTGCAGGTGCGGTCCGATACTTTGCCTTCGCCTGGGCCCACTGCTCCTGAGACAGGCGCCGGTTCGAGCATTTCTCCGACCTCCGTCGTCTTGTTTGCTGTGCTTGCATTCTTGACGAGGGTTTTCATGTGAAACAAGGATGGAGACTTGTCGTTAGGTTAAGGATTTTATTGTGCTTGTAACAAGAACCATATGCATCTTGTTGGAGCAATTCTTTACCCGTGTTATCATGCTGGCTTATGCTATTATGTGTGTATTTTAATATTTTTCTTCCTTTTCCCCTTTTGAATAAAGTCATATGGTTAATTGTTTCCAATTTACTTTTTTGTATTAGGTATTCTTGAACAAAGTTAACTCAATCTTTCTGCACATTGAGGTATCAAATAGTCAAAATACAACTTAAGGAATTAAAAAAGGGAGAATCTTTGGGGGTATTAAAGTGCAAATAAACTTAAACTTTAACACATAATTCAAAAGGGCTAAATTCTTAAAGTCCCTTTAGCCATTAAATAGACCATTAAACGGGTGAGCACGCAGTGGTGTTAATTTTTATAAAATATTCGCATTCAATTTGTGGACAGTGGGATTTGAAGATTGATCTGATATTATCTTATACTCCTTCTAAGCATTACACGAAAATTTCAAAATTATTATGAAGATTGAAGGTATAATTTTATATTCTAACGTATTTATACCTTTACGTCAATTGAGCTCAAATAAATTAGTCAAGTCACCTACAATTCATGGGCCTTCGTGTATAATCTTCTCTTCTTCTTTTATCTGAGTTTGAACCCAACCTAAGTTTAAATCGGTATTTTTATGTAGTGGAGTCAGGAAGGAGGTTACAAAGTTTCTCGGTCACGGTTTATGACAGCTGTACTTCAAGAAGGAACGAGCTATAAATAGTAAGCAAATAAACTGTTGTAGATTGAAAATGTAGGCCTTGAGTCGTGTGTCAGCCTGTGGGTTATCGTTTTCAAATGGGCTAGACCCCTCAATCATAGCATATAGTAGTTTCATGCTTAGATGGGCCTTGAATATTTTTAAAGTAACAAAGGACAAGGTGCCCAGGAAATTTATTAATTGAGGAAAATAGGTACAGAATATATATTGAGGGGAAGGAAGAAAAGAGAAAAAAGTATATGAGGAAAGAGGAAGGATATGAAGAAGAAGAAGAAGAAGAAGAAATCAGTCAAAGATTTGAATCAAGATGTCAGCTCGCTCCGATTCGATTGTCAACTCCGGTGTAAAGTGATGCTGTCATACCAAAACTAATATAATTATGCAATCTGACCAAGAATGTGTGTCTGGCATATTTAAATTTATTAGGAGACACTTTCTCATTCAGTTCATTCCATATTTAAATTTATTAGGAGACACTTTCTCATTCAGTTCATTCCAAATATAGAAGTAGCCGGTGATAACTGTTAGATCTGAATCATAAAACTTGAGATCTAAAACCTTAAGCCAATAATTAATTCAAAGAGATTAACAAGAATCAAAGGAGTGGAAGCTTATACTTGAATCCATAGATGAACTTGAGATGGGTTTTGGATCTTCTAACCTTAGGGTTTCTCTATAGCCTAATTTCTCTTTCTAGATGGGGGTGAAGAGAATTAGAGAATGTAACCCTAGGTTAGGAACCATAACCCTTTATTTATAGATGTTGTACATTTATAATTTGGCCCCTCAATAAATCACAATTACAACCTGGTATCTGCGCATATAATCCCATGACTTATTTAAATACCCAATTAACCCAAATTAATTGATCACTTTAGTGGGTTATCC